GGGTGGAGGGGCCGTGGGCTGGCAGGGGATAGCGGGGGGATGCGGGTGGAGGGGGCCGTGGGCTGGCAGGGGATAGCGGGGGGATGGGGGTGAAGGGGGCCGTGGGCTGGCAGGGGATAGTGGGGGGATGCGGGTGGAGGAGCCGTGGGCTGGCAGGGGATAACGGGGGGATGGGGGTGGAGGGGCCGTGGGCTGGTCTGGGGGGGCCGATCCTGGGCCCTTCGCTATGATCCCACTGGAGGCAGCTGGTGCCATCCCTGGGGCCTCTCGTGCCCGCAGCCTGGGCTGACCCTGCCTCCCCACCTTGCAGATCTGGACCCCCTGATCCTGTCGCTGTCTCTCATCCTGTTGCTCATCGTGGTGCTCCTGGCCCTCTTTGCCCTGCTCACCCACCGCAGGTACCGCCCGCCGCGCCCGTGCCCACTGGGACAGCCCATCCCCCACCCCCTAGGCCCCGGCTGCCGCACCCATGCCCACCGGGACAGCCTATCCCCCACCCCCAGGGCCCCTCCAGGCTCAGGCTTCAAGGCGCTTGTGGGGGGAGAGATCCAACCCCAGCCTTATGCGTGTGCACACGCCTGCCAAACTGGGGGTGTCCCTAGGCGTGCATGTCCTTGTGTGTGGTAGCATGCACATGCGTGTTGTCACGGGTATGCAGATGCTTGGAGGTTGTCTGAGGGGATGCGCGAGGCATGTGGGTGGTGCTGGGGGCCGTATCTCCCGAGCCCCCTGCAGCCAATGGCCCACGAGCGTTTGCAGGGTGGGTGCACACGCATTTCCATGTGTGGGGGGGTTCACGCCGGGACTTGTCTCCTGTTCACCACTGCCCCTGCCCCCCTTCCAGGTTTTTGAAGAAGAAGCTGTGGCCGGTGATTCCCAGCCCGGAGCACAAATTCGAGGGGCTTTTCACCCTCTACAAGGGGAACTTCCAGGTACCAGATCCTGCCCTGGCCGGGGCTCCAGGGGCACTGCACGGGGCTGCAGCCCATCGACGCATGGAGGGGTCTGGCCAGCAGGGTCTGCTGGGGGTCACCACCCTGCCCCGGGGGCATCTGTGCTGGGGATATGGGGGTCTGATGCTGGGGGGATATGCTGGGCTGGGGGACCAGGGCGATTGTCCGGGTGGGAGATGCTTAGAGATGGGGGAGCCGCCAGAGAAGGGCCAAGATGGGGAGTGAGCCTGGGGCTGGTTTTCATGCTGCCAAATGCTAGGCATTGTTGTTGTAGGCCCTACATAAACCCTTGGTTTAAAACAAAGGGGCTGGCAGGAGCTGGTGGGGGACAGGCAGAACCTGAGAGTCCAGGGATGCAGAGAGGGGGCTCAGACCCCCAGGCTTGGCTCAGTAGGTGCCCCCCGCCACCTCTGGTGATCCAGGCCCTGTTGCTTTCGCAGCTCTGGCTGGGACAAAGAAATGCCTACCTGTGGTGGAGCGCGAACCCTGGCTATTTGGAGGAGCAGCCCACCATGCTGGAAGTGCTGTCCGAGGGCCGCGAATCCAAGGCGGAGGGGCCGGTGCCCCCTCTGCCCCCCAAAGCCCATGGCTCGGTCCCGCCCGCCCGCCCTGAGCCGCCCGTGGAGCCCCAGGATGACTACCTGGTGCTGGATGAACAGCTGATGCCATGCAGCCTGGGCAAGGACTCTCTGCTCCTGCCGGATGCCCGGAGCAGTGCAAGCTCTGAAGCCCCCCCTGCCATGGGGCAGGAGCTGGGCCCCCCGGGGGCGACACCGGAGCCCGTCCTGGAGGAGCGGGTCTCGTCCTCCTCCAGCTTCGAGTACACCATCTTCGACCCCAGTTCGGAGCTGCTGGCACCCTGTGGGCACCAGCGCCCGCTCAAATACAGCTACCTGCTGGTGTCCGACTCCGGGATCTCCGCTGACTACAGCCCCCTGGGCACCAGCACCCACCAGCCCAACCTCTACACCAACCTGTGCCAGGAGGAGTGCCAGGCCCAGCCCTTCCCAGCCAGCTACGTGGTGTGCTCATAGTGCCGGCGGACGGGCACGGGACTCCGGGCCTGGAGAACGGAGATGGAACCCCATGTGGACCCCGTCCCAGCAGGACGAAGAAGAGATCCCGTCCCAGCAGGACGTTGAGGGGACCGGGGATGATATAAAGGAGACCCCCGTCCCAGCAGGACGTTGAGGGGACCCCGTCCCACCAGGACGTTGAGGGGACCCCGTCCTGGCATGATGTAAGGGACACCCCATCCCAGCAGGACGCAGAGGATGGATATATGACCCCAGCACCAGCTCCCTCTTGCCCGGGGCTTGCAAGGCTGTGGTGGAAGCCAATGGAGGTGGAACCGAACTGCCCCAGCTCAGGCTCAGACTGGGCTCTTGCCGGGCCGGAAACTCCCACTGGGCCGGATGGGGCGACGCGGCCGGTGCCGGCGGTCACATCCGCGGAGCAGATGGTCAAGGACCAATCTGCCAGCAGGGAGCGTGACAGCCAATTCCCCCCACACCAGAGCTGGCTTGGATTCGAAACACGAGCTGGGTGAAAGCTGCAGCCCCTGTGCCACCAAGGGGAGCCCACCCACTCTGCGCCCCCCCCAAGCCTGGCTCGGCTGCAAGGGATGCTGGGAGTCCTGCAATCCTGCTTCATGCCCCTTTTCTTTTTGTACTTATGTGTATAGGGAAAAGCTCAAAAAGCCCCGTTACTCCTGTAAATCTGTTACTGCTGTGACAGGGGCTAGAGGTTTCGGGGGGGGGCGGGTGTCTGGACTCTTGGGTTCTAGCCCCAGCTGTGGGAGGAGAGGGGGGCCTAGTGGTTAGAGCTAGGGGAGCTGGGAGTCAGGACTGCTGGGTTCTAGCCCAGCTGTGCCACGGACTTGCTTTGTGACCTTGGGCATGTCCCACCCGACCTCTGCGCCTCAATTTCCCCATTTGTAAAACAGGGCTGACAATACTGACCGACCCAGGCTGTCATTCGGATCTTCTCTCTGCTATTAGTATTTAACTCCATGGGGTTGTCCCTGCCCTGGGGTGCTCCCGGATGGACTGATTCGCCCTGGCACCACCACCAACCCATCGGGCCAGCATTGAAACGCCTGGGGTTGAGGGCTGTCTCGAACCTGCCCGGCAGCCGTGGGGCCCCAGCTTAGGGCAGGAGCTTGTTAAAGGGGAGCAGGTGGGGCTGGCGAGGAGGGCCAGTGGGGGTTGAGAATCCCCCAGAACTAGGGGACTGCCCCACAGTGCGGAGTGCCCTGACAGGGGTGGGGCCCCACTAGGAGCCCACAGCAGCTGGATGCGTGATAGATCTTTGCCTTTTAATAAAGGAGATGGTTTTTTTCACTCCGCGTCTGCCTAGTCTCTGCTGGGGAAGGCTCCACGCATCCGGGACACCCCATTACATCAGCTGTCGGAAACTGACCAAGCTCCGGCTTCAAACCAGTTCGGTCTCTTCCCCCTCACTGCTCCTCCAGAGGGCTGCTGCCTTCTCTGCTGGGGAGAAACCTCCTTCCCCATCCACCAAGTTTGCTCCTGGCCAGCCCTGTTCTTGAGTGTCCCTACCGCTCACCCCTCCCTGGGATCCCACCCGTAGCTTTATAGAGCCGCCAGACCCCCTCACAGACGCGTTTTGGGCTCTGCCTTCCCAAGCAACCCTTTGCTGCCCCAGGGGAGAGACTGGAACCTCTGTAGGGCAGGGACTGGCTTTGTGATCTGGGTTTGTACAGCGCCTAGCACAATGGGATCCTGGACACTGCCGTCATACAGATAAACCACGTTTTCTGCGCCTCATAGCAGGGCCTGAGGAGCCCATCGCGACACCGGTTAAAGCCAGCGTGCATGGCTGCCTGTCCCACATGCTGGGGTGTTGCACGTGCACAGCACTAGTGCAAGGAACCGTGGCAACGGGGCCCTGGACGCTGCTGGCTCTCAGCCCGGGCGTTAACGGTGCCAGGGGCGGAATTGGCGGAGTAGCGCCGCTTGGGTCCAGCCCCCCACCAGCGTGAGAACACGTCCCCCCTTCGACTTAGCGCCCATCCCCACCTGATAGCGATTATCTCCACAGCAACCGGCCCCCCGGGGGTTATCAGCAGCGGCTCAGCTTGTGGCAGACTGCGGGAGCCCAGCCAAGCGCTGACTCTCGGCGCCGATCCAACAGCGGCAGAGCGAGCCACTTAGGAAGGGAGCCCGTCCGGAGAGACGGGAGGGGGCAGGAGCTGAAGGCTGCGGCCGAGACAGCGGGGAGCCTGCACGTGAGCTGCTGGGCCTGATTCGTGTGCCAGCGCCCCCAGCCCTGTGCCAGCTCAGCTCCATGGCACTAAGCCAGCTGTGAGGGACACTCATGTGGGAGGGGAGTGGGGTCTAGTGGGTTAGAACGGGGGAGGGAGGGTCTGGGAGCCAGGACTCCTGGGTTCTACTCCCAGATCTGGGAGGGGCTGGAGTCAGATTCTATTACTGGCCCTGGACGGGGAGTGAGGTCTAATGCGGGAAGTGACTTTCTCGAGGTAAGACAGCAGGTACTGAGTGGCAGAGCCAGGAACAGAAGCCCAATCTCCTCTGCTCCGAGCCCTGCGTCCTACACACTGGAACAGATGGGCTCCCTCTCAGAGCTGGGCGCGGCTAACTGGTCAGGTCACCCCACCTCCCCAGAGAGCCGAAACCGTGGAAAATAAATTCGATTCAGGGGTAGAGAGTGCGTATTGCTCTGTGTCTGTGCAGCACCTGGCGCGATCTCGGCTGTTCCTTCGGCGGTACTGGAATAAACAGATTTGAATTGTTGAATTTTCCTTCATTTCTATTCACTGGGGGTGGCAAACTAAGCAGGCCAAGGAAGGGACGTACAGAGACGGATTTCCCCCTAAATCGCCCAAGGTTCAGCCAACAGCCAGGGCAGAAACCCACACTCGGGAAACAGACGAATTTACATCTCCAGAGCCCCAGGGGTCATTTCTCAACCCCGGCAGCTCTGTCTGTGTCCGAAGCCGCCCCTGGATCCTCTGCACGCCCCCAGGGAACCGGGGACACCCTCATCTCTCCATCGAGACCGAACCCCAGCTTCCATTCCTGGTCTGCGGCACCGGGCTGGGACAGGCGCGCCCTGAACATCCGGTCGCCCCCACAGTCCTCCTGGCCCAGGGCTGCCGCCGAGTCCGGGCACAGCCAGCACTGGGCTGGGAAGTAGCGCTGGAGGATGCAGAGATAATCCTCAACCTCTGTTTCCCCGGAGACCTGCATGGAGGCGATGAGCTGGCAGCAGGTGGGAGATCCTTGGGGGTCCGCGCCGAGGCGCCCCGTGAAGTACGAAGCCGTGTCCACCAGCAGGGCTGAGAGCCGGGCGGCCGCCTGGGGGCCAGGGCAACCAGCGAGGTACTGCTCCAGCCCATCCAGCAGGAGGAGGGCAGGGGGCCCAGGCAGGCTCTGGTGCAGAGAGGCCAACAGCCGCAGCAGCTCCCGCAGCGAGGGCGGGTAGAGGAACTGGATGCGCTAGGGTGGGGAAGGGGAGGGAGCTATTGAACAGGGTCGGCCCCAGCCCGGGATCCCCTCCCTCACAGCCCAGCCTGCCCCAGCCCAGGATCCCCTCCCCCACAGCCCAGCCTGCCCCAGCCTGGGATCCCCTTCCTCACCAGACCAACCTCGACCCAGCCCAGCCCCCCGCCTCCCAGCTAGCCCCAACCCAGTATCTCCTCCCTTCCCCTGCCCAGCATCCCCCTGTGCCCAACATCCAGCCACATCCAGGCCCTGTCCTATGCCAGCACCACCTCCAAAAAGCCCCACCCTATCTGGCCCCTCCCACTCCTCAAGCCCCTCCCTTTATCCCATGTCCTGCCCCTTAGGCTCCGCCCCTGCCATGAAGCCCCACCCCTTAGCTCCCCTCCTGCTCCCTCCCTCCCATCAAGCACTGCGGCCTCCAGCTTCTCCCCCCATTCAGCCCTCCCGGGAGAAAGTAACTCCGGCCCCCTACGATTTTTACCCTTGGCCCCGCCCCCTCCCAGCAGGCCCCGCCCAGGATATTGGCCCCGCCCCCTCCTCACAGGCCCCGCCCAGTATATTGGCCCCGCCCCCTCCCCTCAGGCCCCGCCCATCACCTGCAGGCCGCGCGGGTCGCTCTCCCCGCGCCGGGCCCCCGGCAGCCGCTGCAGGGCGCGGGGCGCCAGGAACAGCGCGCGGGGCCCGCCCAGCGCCGCCCGGAACAGCAGCGCCGAGCGGCCCGAGCGGGCCGGGCCCAGCACCAGGGCCGGGGCCGGGGCCGGGCCGGGCCCAGCTGCGCCCAGCGCCCGCTGCAGCGCCGCCGACATGGCCCCGCCCACTACTGGCCCCGGGCCAATCCGGAGGGATGTCCCGCCCCGTCCCCGGGTGATAGCTAATCAGAAATCGTACTCCGTT